TCTGTCCTCATTCCTCTTTTCCTCCTCCCTTCTTCTGCTCTCTTTCTTCCCTTTTGCATCCACTCTGCTCTCTGCTTTCCTCTCTGTTCTCCCTCCTCCCTTTTCTCTGCTCTCCTCTGTTGTTGTTTCTCTCTCTTGTCCTCCAGTCTTCGTTCTTTTTCCTTCTTGCTCTCCCACCTCCCCTCATCTGCCCTTCTTTTTATTCCTGCTTCCTCCTTTTGCAGACAAAGCACAATTTGGTCCCATTTGGTCACTGGCTTATGGCTCCCCTAGTGTCTGGAACCACTCATTTGGCACCCTCTGAAGCAGCCAGGAGAAGTTTCTGTTGACTCACTGAACCTATTAACTTGTCTTGGCCATAGGATTTAGAGAATCAAAAGGCATTGTTCACCCTCAGAGGCTTTACAGCCCTGTTCCTAAAATGAACCATTACAGGACAAAAGAAAAAAGAAAAAGCATTCTCTGCAGAAAAAGGAAATAGGCCTCCCTTAGAACAGTACCTTCTTGGGTTACTGTTGACATAGTATACTTTGTCCTATCTAGATAGGGCTTTAGAAAGAGAGGCACATACATTGTGGTATATGAATGTAATGGGATATTATTGTGCTATAAGAAAGGATGAATATGAAAAATACAGAGAACCTTGAGAAGACTTGTATAAATGAAGAGCCAAGAGAATTATTTGTACAATGATTGCAGTGGTGTAAAAGAAATCAACTTCAGAACTCTGATCAATAATCAATTTGACATCTTTGATTAATGATAAAGCGTGTCTCCCACCTCTTGATAGGGAGGTGGTGGAAAACAGGTGAAAACAAGGCAGACATTCATTGTTAGATGTGGCCAGGGGCAGCTAGGTGGCACAATGGATAGAGCATCGGCCCTGGAGTCAGGAGGACCTGAATTCAAATGCGGTCTCAGACCAGATACTTGATACTTACTAGCTGTGTGACCCTGGACAAGTCACTTAACCCCAATTGCCTCATATAAAAAAGAAAAAAAATTCTAAAAAAAAAAAAGAGATATGACCAGTATTTTGATTTTGTTTTAACTGTCCCCCCCTTTTTTTTTCTGTAAGGGACGTTTTTATTGGGTGAAGGGATGGATAGTCATTGGTTGTTTGTTTGTTTGTTTTTTAAGAATATAAATAAAACATTTTTAAAAAAGAATTGACATATCTATTTTTAAGGGAATCAGGGCCCTGACTCAAATGCTTCTTCCTTGAAGGCTTCCTGGACCACTGCCATCCATCCCTATCTTCCCTTCTATCCCCTTCAAACTCCTGTACAACTACGGCCTCATATCACATACCACCTTATATGTTTTATTTTGCTTTGTTTGTCTTTCTTGTCTCATCTCCGTAACTAAGCTGTAGGCTTCCTGAAAACGGAGACTTGATTTTACTCTCCTTCTGGCTCTAAATTCAGGGTCTCCCACATAAGTGCCCAACATCCGCTGAACAGCTTGGGACCAAGGTCAAAGAGCAGGAGGGTGGGGAGGGAGGGAGGGAAAGAAGTTGACCATTTTCCTCAAGTTTTGTTGAGAAAAAAAAAGTTTTATTTGAAATAGTTAAAGGGGATTGAATATGCCAGGATCGTTTCTTTCCCTCTATATTATGCAATCCCAAACGCAGTAAAAAATTACCCTAAAAGGCTCACAAGCACCAATCCAACCTTCATTCCCATTCAGTCACCATTGTTTCCTAAGGCAGCATTTCTGTTGTTAGCAACAACATTTCAGAAAAGCCTAGTTATCTTGGCTCAAGAACTGAACATCTGACCAGGCCTTTGAGAGTTGATTTTTCACGCGCACACACACACACACACACACACACACACACGCATATGCACACATGCATACACACATGTACACACATAGGCACACAGAAGCACTCACACCCCTGACTTTGTGTGTGTGTTTGTGCATTATATATATGCATATGTGTGTATTCAATTTCCTTTTAGAAATTAGTTTTTGGGTCCATGAAAAATACCTAATATTCAGGAAAGGTACATGTCTAAGATGGAGAGTCAAGAGACCTGAGTTCTAGTCCTGGCTTTGCCACCAACTGACTTTGTGACCTTGGACAATTTACTTCCTTTCTCTGGGCCTCAACTTCCCATCTATAAAATAAAAGGGCTTAGACTACATTGATTTCTAAGATCCCTTTCTGCTCTAACATTCTACCATAAAATTCAAGCATTGCTCTAAGTAGGAATGCCGTCCCTTATGTACAGTAGGTGACTTCTTACAGGTTATGATTTGAGAGGTATAAGGAGAGGCTCCCTGCCCCCAAATACATCCCCTATATTTATCTCAGATTCCTGTATTTCCATCATTACAGTATTATTCCTTTGGGGTACCAAAACATCAACCAGTGCTAAAATTCAAATTTCTTTTGAAAGGATAATATCTTTGTTACCAATTATTAAGACCTTAACAAGGATGAGTTTCTCAGACCCTTTCTCCCTGGACCTACCAAGTAGACAGGAGCTTTTTCTGAGGTAGCTTGGAGATTCAAAGTAGGAATCGTATCTTAAGAAAATGGGGCAGTGAGCTCGGCCAGTATAATCAGAAAAAAAGCCATAGGCATAACCACCTTCGTTCCCTTCTCCCTCCATGCCCTGCCATGCTTCCTTCCTGTACTGACAATATTGCCAGTTTTAGGAGAGTGAATTTCAAAGAGTCCAGAGGTGGAATAAATACAACCCTATGGCCTGAGACTCCAAGGGTGAAGTTAGCTCAAGAACACCAGTAAGAGGGTGTGAAGAACAAAACTCCCGTGAGGCAGGCGGGGGAATTTCTTGTGATGAGTTAGTAAGCGGGAGAGTTCCCAAAGACACTGATGTGGGTGAACAGGGGATTCATGGGAAGGACTCTTGCTTTAAAAGGGCATGTACAAGAGAGACACGTTAAGTGAGCATGAATAGATGAGAGTGACAGAGACGGAAGTTAAATGAGAATAGCATGGTCGTTCAAGAAGAGTATCAGAAAAGCAAAGGCCCACATTTGAACTGAGGCTCATGATAAATGTTAAAGAGACAATTAAAAGGGGCTTGTAGTTAGGTCTATTATTTGGACCCAAAGAGTATTGATTAATGGAAGTCAGGTGTTAACCATTTAACAATTAAAGAAGTCATGTATAGCCTATATCAGATTGCATGCCATCTTGGGGAAGGAAGGAGAGAAAAATTTAAAACTCGAAAGTTTATGGAAGTAATTGTTGATAATTCAAAATAAAGTAATTTTAAAAAATGAAAAAAAAATAAAGAATGATAGAGTGGTTGAGGGAGTTCTATATATTCTATGTCCATGATCTTTTCAATAAAGTAAAAGGCCAGAAAAAAAAAAACCAATTAAACAGGTCAGATGTTAACCATTCTGCCTCATCTTCCTCAACTCTAAACATGCAATACTCTCTAACAAGTGATAGAGTTAGGATTCAGGAGACCTAGGTTTTGGTCCCTCCCAGAGGGAGGGTTACTCCAGACATCAGGAACAGTGTTAGTAAAAGTAAAGGGGCTAGAAAATGCAGGATTTGCATGGGAAAATCTTGAAGTTGGAGCAAACCAAAAAAGATCATCTGGTTTATGTTTTTAACCTGGAGTATATGAATTTAATCTTTCTACATTATATGTTTTGATAACTATATTTCAATATAAATGATTTCCTTTGTAATTTCTACGTATTTTATTTTATGTGTTTAAAAATAATTCTGAAAAAGGTTCCATGGACTTCACCAGACTGCCAAAGAGGTCCATGACACAAAGAAAATCACAAACCCCTGATCTCATCGAATCCCCTCATTATTGTAAATAAAAAAACTAAGAACTGAGATACAGAGAGATTTTGATTTGTCTGAGGTTACAAAGCTGTTTGAAGGTGGAGATGGGACCATTCATTCATTCAGCAAACATTTATTAAGGGCCTACTCTGTCAAGCACCATGCTAGGCACAAAAGACAAAAACAAAAGTCAACCCAAACTGGGGACTTTACGGTTCTTTCTATTAAACTATACCATTTCCTCAGTCGTCTGAAAGTTATCTGTGAGTAAGGGAAAACATTCCTTGAAATCAGGGAGTTAGAGATAGCTTGGCCTTCAGAACCATCCACAATCTGGCTCTAACCCACTTTTCTAGTCTGCTCCCCTACAGAATGCTTCTGGTTTAGCCAACTCTCACTGTTTGCAGAACAGCCTTTGTGTTCATTCACTCTCATGTCCATGCTTGCGCTCCATGTATAGTTCCTTCCCTCTCCTTTTCACCTGTGCAATTCTGCCCATCATTGAAGGCCCAGTACAAGTCATACCTCCCACATGAAGCCTTCCCTTGTCACTCCAGTTCACAAAATTCTCTGTGTCCCCCAAACTGAGTAGCATTTATTGTCTGTACTACTCACTTAGTCCTAACAGTTAGCATCTAAAACAGCTCTTCACTTATTATCTAGTATTGCTATCGTACTCATCATTATTTAACTTTCATGTGTAGAGACGGGGTCTCCTCAAATAAGCACCATGCAGATAGAGCATCATGACACTTCTGTATATGCCCTATAGCATCCTGCAAAGAAAAGGGACTCAGGGGCAGCGAGGTGGCGCAGTGGATAGAGCACCGGCCCTGAAGTAAGGAGGACCTGAGTTCAAATCCGGCCTCAAACCAAACACTTGACATGTACTAGCTGTGTGACCTTGGGCAAGTCACTTAACCCTGATTGCCTCACCAAAAAAAAGGGGGGGGGCTCAAAAATGTGTTGGTTAGGTATGAGAGAAACACAATGACTTCGTGAGGATAGATGACATAGGAGAAGGGCATCCAGAAGGAACCCTCTTACTTCAGGTGAATGGTGAGGGCAGAAATCATGAGTCCTCTGCGGAATTTTTGTTCTGGAAACAAAGACTTTGATATAGGCCACCAGCCCTGAGGAAAGCACAGATTTTACCATTTGCCTGATTCAGTCAAGGCCAGATTTCTAATGGCACCTTGTTATTTCTCCTCCACAGCCTCCGGCCTTTCGTCTTCACCATCAACCCCTACCCAAGTGATCAAGCAGCACACTTTTCCTCTGGAATCCTACAAAAATGAACCTGAGAGATTAGAAACTCGAATTTATGCCTCCTCTTCTCCCCCGGACACAGGCCAGAGGTTCTGCCTGCCCTCCTTCCAGAGTTCAGCCAAGCCTCCCTCTGCAGCATCGGCTCCATATGCTACCTCCACAACAGTAAGTTGGGTACTCTTTCTTGGGATTCCAGGTGGAGGATACTATGGGCAGAGGCCAAGCCCAAGAGTACACAGAATAAAACCAGTTACCTTTTCCAGGCTGCTCTGGCTTGGCCTGACCCTTCAGGGACTGTGGTGAAAGGGCCAAAGGCTGAGTGGATGCTGAATGGATTTTATCCTGAATGATGATAATGAAAATCCCTTGCAAATAAGCACCTGTCATTTAAAGGGTCGCTGGTTAAGACCTTTTGGGGGTAATACTTTGGAAACACTGATTTTTTTGAGTATAGTTGAAAGCAGGACAGGTAGAATTCAGCATCTTATCATTTGCACCTGTCAGGTGCTCTGCCCTGTATGTGCAAGAAGACATGAAATCATGGAATTTGAGAGATGGAAGGAAACTCTCCAGCCATCTTGATCAACTCATACACAAAAGGATTCTATGTTATGATATACCCAACAAATGGCCACTTGCCTCTGCTTGAAGACCTCCAAGGAGGGGGTCCCAGCCCTCTGGGGACATGCCATTCTACTCTGGGATAGCTCCAACTATAAGAAAGGGTTTTTTCATGTCAAATGAGCCTCTTTTCAACTTGCCCTTGTTGCTTTGAGCTCTGCCCTCTGATACCAAACGGAACAAATCCTCCACATAACAGGCCTTCTTAGAGAGAGAGATCAGGTTCTCCCTTCATGTCTCTTCTTCAAGCTAATCATGCCCAGCTCATTTGAGTAATACTTGAATGACGCGGGCCCAAGGCCCTTCACCATGCCAGTGGCCCTTCTCTCAGTGTACCCCAGCTTAGTAATGTCCTTCAAACCTTGGTGCCCAGAACTGGACACAACACTTCAGACGAGGCCAGAGTATAGTGGAACACAGGGCTTATACTACTGTTGGGTAACCAAGACGGATACATGCATGAAACAGATGGTGTGATAGTTTGATAGAATATGCTTAATTGTTCAAATGATAGTATATAGTGGGGAGGGGAAGGGAACAAGTATTTATTAAGTGCCTACTATGTGACAAGCACTGTGTTAAGTGCTTTACAGATATCTCATTTGATCCTTACAACAACCCTATGAGGTAGGTGCTTTTATTATCCCCATTTTTCAGTTGAGGAAACTGAGGCAGAGAGTGGTTTTAAGAGTCACCTAGCCAGTTAGTATCTCAGGCTAGATTTGAACTCAGGTGGTTCCTGACTGCAGGCCCAGAGCTCTCTCCACTGTGCCACCTAGCAGCTCTTATCATGGGATAGCAACAACAATAATAACAACTAGCATTTATATAACACCTACTATGTACCAGGCACTATGCTAAGCGCTATGTAATTATTATCTCATTTGATCCTTCTGATAGCCCTGGGTAGTAGATGCTATTATTATCCCCATTTTACAGGTGAGGAAACTGAGGCAAACGGGTGAAGGGACTTACCCAGATCACATAGCTTGTAAGTGTCTCAGGTCTTCTAAGTGTCAAGTCTTCCTGATTCTAGGCCCAGTCCTCCTGACTAGTACAGCCCATAGGGACCTAACTTTTTCCCTTTGAGTTCCAGTAATATTTCTCCATGTTACTTGTTTGGCACAACCATATGGTATTCTGCATTGTGACTCAATTGTTTCATGTGCGTACATCTTGTCTCCCCAACCACACTGCAAGCTCTTTAAGGGGAAGGATCCTGTCTTCTTCTCTTGTCATCTCATCACCTCCCTCTCTACCAGGCCAGGTGTGGTACTTTAGGAAAGGTAAGTTAGAAGGGATTTTAGAGGCCATGTAGTTCAAAATTAAGTCGAGTTTTATTTTATAGATGAGAAATTTGAGTCCCAAAGAGGTTAAGTGACCTGCCCAAGTTGGTAAGTAGCAAAGCTGGGATTTGAACTCAGATCCACTGACTCCCAAGTCCAACATTCTTTCCACACTGCCAATTTTGCCATTACCTGTCACTGTTAGCTGAGTTCATGTTCAATAGAACTCTGGCACAGCCAAATAACTTTACTCCTGAGGCTAGCAGCACTTAAAAAAAAATCCCTATGGTCCATCTGGGTTGGCTTGACTTAATTCAGCTGTCCAGTTCTGGTGCAAATGAAGATTCATTTGCCATGCAAAGAGGATAATACAATAGCCATTTATTCAGCAAGTATTAATTAAACACCTACTTTTCCTAAAATATACCTGGCAGGTAGAGAGGGAGGTGGTAAGATAACAAGAGAAGAAAATAGGATCCTTCCCCTTGAGGAAGCTTACAGTGTGGTTGGGGAGACAAGATATAGACACGTAAAACAATTAAGTCACAATGCAAAGTGCCATATGGTTGTGCCAAACAAGTAATATGTAGAAATGTGTGGTATAGGAGCTCCAAGGAAGAAAGTGAGGTCACTATGGGCTGAACTAGTCTCGGAAAGGCTTATGAAGGAAAAGAAATCTGAGCAGAATCTTGAAGGATCACAAGGATGAAGGAAGAGCACTGCCATTCCTAATAAGAGCAGCAGCAAAGACTCAGAGTGAGGAATAAGCCTGACATGTTGAGGCAGTGAGAAGAGGGAACTGACTGTAGTAGAGGGTTCATTTTGGGAAACAGAGGGAGATAAGGTGATAAAGATAGAGTGGAGCCAGCTTTGAAGCAATACGTCACGTGGCAGTGTCTGAAGAAGATTAATCTGATAGCTGCGTGAAGGATAGATTGGATGAGGGAGAGAGCAGAAGCAAGGAGACTGTTGAGAACATTGTGGTAATTTGGGCATGAAATGATGGAGACTTGAATTTAGCGTGAAGGCAATGGGAACAGAAAGGTAAGAGAACTTGTAAAGGGAGGATAAACAGGATTGAATGAATAGCTGGATGTGAGAGAGAAAGGAGAAGGAAGAGTCAAATATGCCTACCATTTTGAGACTGGGAACAAGCCACTGATGGTAATAAGGAGGTTGGGAAGGAGAGCTGGTTTGAGGGATAAGAAGATGAATTCAATCTTGGCCAAATTCAACTTGAGAGGATAGTAGCAAGTATCTCCATTGCTAGTGGAAATGAAAAGTCCCATGAACCAGGAGCTTTTTTTCTATTTGTATCCCCAATTGTCTGGTGATACAAATAAAAAAGTGAGATGATCCCTGCTCTCAAGGAGCTCATGCTGTAATGGGGGAGATGACAGACATGCAAGGTTTCAGCTAAAAGTCAGTTAGAAAGGTCTCATGGTCTTTAGGGTGTGGCAGCAAAGCAGAAGGCAAAACCTCTTATTTAAAGTCACTTCCACGGATAAAATCCTATCAGTTTCTGATGTTGAGCCATTTGACAGTGTCAAAGCTTTTGGTAGCAATAGTTTTTTGTTTCTTGTTTTTTATGTTTAGGTAGGGGCTATTGCCAGGCTGCATCCTAGGATGATGGCTGCAGCAGGCACTGGACAGGAAGCATTGCCATTCCTGAAGCTTCTGGGTTCAGGGTTGTGGGCTGCCTCCATTGGGGTCTGAAAGGAGATGGTGGTCAGGGAGGAGGAGCTGGTGATGAGGCACATGCTGCCTCCTTTCTCTCCCCCAGGGTGCCCCACACTGTCTTAGCCAGGATGGTGCCCTGTGAGTGGCTGTTGGCTGGCAGTTGGTGGGTATGGCTATTCTCTTCTTCCCAGAAGTTGCTTACCCATGTGATGCCATAGTCTTGTTCATTTCAATATTTATTGGCATCCAGGTCATGCAGTTAAAGCAGAGGATTTAGACTCAGGAAGATCAGATACTGACTAGCCTTATGACCCTCAGCAAGCCACATAACTTTTTTGTGTCTCAGTTTCCTCATCTATCAAATGGGAATGATAATTGCATCTACCTCACAGGGTTGTTGTGAGGATCAAATGAGTTAACATTTTGCAAACCTTAAAGTGCTACATAAATGCTACCTTTTACTATCATCATCATCATCACCATTACACCAGTCTCTGCTGCCCAGAGATCTTAGGTCCAACCAAAAACCTTTCCTCCTTCCTTTATCTCCCCTCCTCATTCATCTCACAAACACAGCATAGAGTGAACATGAAAATCTTGCACTAGTTGGAGTGAGTTGTGTATGTATTCACAGAACACATATATTTTCAACCTAATCCATAAACCCAGAGGTCACTGAGAACACATGTATTGTCTTTAGTGGACTGCTCAGTAAGTACAATTATGGGGTTGGTAGGGGTAGCAGTTGTGGGGTGGGGGGTGGGGGACCAGCAGAGGATAGTGAGGGGAGAGCTGATATTGTGGCTCTCTCAGGCTCATATGAATTATGTCTAGACAAAAGGACATCAAGTCTCACAGTCCTATTCTCACTACTGTTGAGGGCTTTTTCAGGTCTAGTAAAATTATGTGGGTTCATGACCCTTCTGTTAAGGAGCTGAATCCTTAATTCCTGTTCAGGGAAAGAGTCTTCAGAGCTTAGAGAGCCCAAAATATATTCAGGTTGAACTTCCCAGCGTAAACAAAAGGAAGGAAAGGCAAGGTGCCATGAGCAATCGTTGCTTATGCTATGTGACGAGAAGTCAGTCAGATGTCTTGGGCTGGCCTGCCTCTACCTAGACATGAGATAATGAGTAAGTCACTTAACATCCCTGTCTGATTCACAATCTGTAAAATGAAGAAGCTGAACTAAATAATCTCTAACATCTTCCAGTTCTAAATCCTATGAAAGTATGATAATTATTTTCAGTCGTTGCTTATCACATATCCCAGAATGCATTGTTGGATCCTAGGTGATTTTAGAATGAGATTACACCACTTAAAGAAGCTTGCTCCCACTGAGTTTACTATCTAATTTAGATGAGGTAATCAACAGTCTAAGAATAAATATAGATACAGATATGGGTATGGGAACCTATATCTCTGTATCTATAGCTATACATGTATAGATATCCATACATACACGTATATACATATGTATATACACATATAAGTTTTTATATATATATATATATATATACACACACACATATCTATATATCTTGTTAATAGGCATTCATCTAATTATCCAGGATGAGACAC